AAATAGAGTTTCACCTCTTATTTTCCTATTCGAATGCCTTTTATTTTTTTTCTCTTTTCTGATTGCATTGGCGAGGACTTCCATTACTATATTGAAAAGGAGTGGAGAAAGTGGGAATCCTTGTCTTGTACCAGTTTTGAGTGGAAAAGTTTTCAGCTTTTCTCCATTGAGGATGATGTTTGCTATTGGTTTTTCATATATAACTTAATTATTGTGTTGAGAAATGACTCTTCTGTGCCAAATATTGGTGAGAGTCTTGATCATGAAGGGTTGTTGTATCTTATCAAATGCTTTTTCTGCATCAATTGATAAGGTCATATAATTTTTATCTTTTTCTCTGTAAAAATGGTGTACTACATGTATTGTTTCATATATGTTGAACCAACCTTGCATTATTGGAATAAAGCCTACCTGATCATGTTGTATAATCTTTTTTTTGGGGGGGAGAGGATTTTTTTTTATTTGTGTTTTGTCATTGTTGTTGTTGTTGTTGTTATAGGTTGCATGTGCTCACCAGAGAGACAGAGAGAGAAAGAGAGATCAGTTTTTAGTGGAATGGCTTTCAGCTTTTCTCCATTCAGCATGATGTTTGCAATGGGTTTTTCATAGATAGATTTTATTGTGTTGAGAAATGACCTTTCTATGCCGATTTTCCTGAGAGTCTTGATCATGAAGGAATTTTTTATCTTATCAACTGCTTTTTCTACATCAATTTTTATGACTATATGGTATTTTTTTCTTCCTGTTAATATGGTGTATTACATTTATTGTTTTGCACATGTTGAACCAACCTTGCGTTCCTGGAATAAAGCCTACCTAATCATGATGTACAATCGTTTTTATAACTTGTTGGATACAATTTGCTAGTGTCTTATTGAGAATCTTTGCGTCTATATTCATCAGAGATATTCATCTATAGTTTTCCTTCCTGGTCCTGTCTTTATCTGTTTTAAGGATAAGAGTGATAGAGGCTTCATAGAATGCATTAGGGAGAAATTCACCCTTTTGGATCTTTAGAAGTAACTCGAGCAGAATGGGGGTTAGCTCTTTTTTGAACATTTTGTACAATTCAGAGGTGAAGTCATCAGGGCCACGTGTTTTTCCGGGCTTTTCTTTGTTAGGAGGTTATTTATTACTGATCCAATCTCCTGGCTTGTTATAGGCCTATTCAGACTTTCTATATCCTCCTGGCTTAATCTTGGTAGATTATATATGTCCAGGAATTTGCCCATCTCATCCAGCTTTTCTTGTGTGTTGCCATATAGTTGTTCATAGTATCCTCTAATGATGTTTTGTATTACTGCTACGTCTGTAACAACAGACATATTGCCTGCTTCATTGCAGATTTGATTTACCTGGTTACTTCCTTTTTTTTCTTTTTTTTTGAGAGGTTTTCACTATAGGGCACGTGCACTCGCCAGAAAGACAGAGAGAGACAGAAAGTGAGAAATCACCCCCCAGGG